TAAGCAACAGGGTGTGTGGGGGGCTGATGAAGAAAAGAATGCAATAACATGATGCACTGTACTTTGAATTCATGTAGACTCAACATAAAGATCGTAATTCAAGAAAAGACTAGTACATATTAGTTCTTTACACTAGTAGTTTTGAAATATTATGCCACTATTCTGTAAATAGCAGTAACCTTGGCAGCCTTCCTAAGCATAGCTCTTGCGAGATATTATTAGATAGGTTAGGCACAAAGAGTATGCTCTCCAATTTGTGACAGAAGAAACATTCATTTTTAACCGTTTGAGTAACTAAGCCAAGTCCTTTCCTGTCGCTCTCCAATAAGAGAATATCTTGATTTCATTTGAGAGATGAGAAGACTAGAAAGAAATCTAAAAATAAACATTAATAATCCTTGCATTTAATATAGCTCCCATCAGTCAACCGTGAAAAATGCTCAGCTTAGCTGCTTCTTTTTGGTTTTGTCATTGGTTACATCTGACCCAGAAACATTTCATTCCAAAACTCTATTCAGCAATCTATAGTTTAAATATTATTACTGTAACGTCTACCTCATGGGTAATGCCATTAAGTTTCACTGAAATCCCAAAGATAACTTTGTAAATTAATTTTTGAAAAAATTTTGCCCAATGTTTTCAATGAATAGCCACAAGCTTCAAAGACTTAAGTTTAGGATAAAGTGCTCTGAAGTATTTTAATGGTTATGATCATCAGATCAAATGCTGCATTGTTGGAGGTGCAGTCCTTTGAATAAGTTGAACCCAGCTCCTTTCTGCCTGTTCAGCTGGAAGTTAAAGATCCCATGGCACATTTAGCAAGAGAAGGGTATCAAGGGATATGGAGCAAAGGCAGGTAAATGGAGTTGAGGTACAGATCAAGCATGATCTAATAGAATTGTGAAACAGGCTTGAGGCTCAATGGCCTACTCCTATTCCTATGTTCCTCAGTGTCCTGGCCAATAGTCCCCCAGATAAAATTGGTCATTCGCTTCAGCCTGCTGTGGGATGTTGCTGTGCTCCAATTGGCTGTTGCGTTGATGTATAAAAAAATACCGTCACAATACTGAATACAGTAAATCCAAAGTGAAATAGAAAATGCAACATTCAGTAAACCTCGACTCCAGGTATCCGGAATTCGAACGAGGCTGAGTCTGAAACAGCAAAATTAAAAAAAAATTCTGTGGGCCCATCAGTAGGCTCAACTCCCAACTCTCCTAGCTTGTACCAACATGAACAGCCCAAATGATGTTTTTCCCACCTCACAGTCTTCACAGTGACTTTGACTCGGATTGAATCTCGTGAGCAGAGGACAGCTTATTCACTACCTTTCAACCTGTCTTCTTTTCATGGGATCGAAACAATTCCAATGCCCATACCAGCATTTATTGGTATTTTTCTGGTATCGGCATTGTAACTACACTTAGCTGCAAATTCCCGCTGGTCAGACCAGATTTCTCCCCCCATTAGTCTAGCTAGTTGGGGTTTTAGTGTACTGTTATGTTGCTCATATCTGAAACTAGCTTAGTGTTAAAACAAGCAAAATTGTTCTGCCCACAATAACATAGTTTCTGTCCTAAATTATAACATCTATCTCACAAATTTAAATACAGTGCAATAAATAAATTGTGAACCACCCATTTCATGTAATAATTTCTTGTATGGTGAACGACAACGCATTCAGTGAAATTAAATGATCATCACACAATTGCAAATGGCATCCATTTTGAATTCCCATCTCAAAGATTGAGGTTCCACTGTATTTTTAACATAATTAACTGAAAACAGTGAAAGGAACCCACAAACATAAAAATGAAATGCTATGTTAACTACAAATTCTGGATGTATACAGTATCCAGAAATTCTGATATTATCATAAATTAAGATATTATAACTCTTTGCAGTTATTCACATGGATTAGATCAGTCTAAATAGAATAGCACACAATGTTTCACTCTTGTGTGAAATCCTGGTGGAAGTTGCATCTTTCACCTCTATTTTTCACCAATTTCATAATTTCAGTCCAAACTACAGCCTTTTTTAAAAAAAAACACCTGCATAAACATTTACATTACTAAAAAAAAGGAATGATTTAAGTTTATATTTCAGAATAATCAAAAAGGCCAATAACCAATTTATAGTCACCTACGAAATAAATCCACAATGTTGTAAAAGCTAAATATTTTTGTCACAGTAATAGAAACTGGGATTGTACCAATGAAGCAATTAGAATTTATAGATTACAGAGATACAAATCCACTGACTGGACTCAAAATAAGTATATTCAAATTGATCGATAATCTTATGGTATATCTAAATTTATGACATCTCAGTCATACCTTGCAATTATGATGGACAACTCAAATTTTTTAATTGTTAACGTACAAAACTTAACATAGATACAAAAGAAGCTTTTTAAAAATATACTAGTGCAGCTATTTTTCCACAAAGTCACCATCACGATCTACACACTTGTGAAAATGTGGAATCAGTGCCAGTGTGCTGTTATGGTAAAATGATGTGCAAATAGCCTTTCTGGTTTCTTTGCGAAAAAGTTAACATTCGTGGAGCCCGCCCACCAAAGTTACCAATAATCATCTCTATGGCACCATGACCGATACTGAGATTCTCACTCAATTCACACTGAATGAATCGTTGATCTTTGCAGATCAGTTCATCAAACACACAAGTTGCATCTAAACATTCTGCATCAAAGAGTCCATTTGGAATGTCAGCAGCATTATTTCTCCTGCTGTGGAATTATCATAAAATAGTGTTATCTACAGGAACTTTGTCCAATGCAAACAAAAATTTACAACAGTTACCCATCATTTATTGAACTATGAGTGAAACTTGCATGAAACAGGAACTGCACTTCCGAACCATCATTTAATCCTGAAGTTATCAGGACAGAGGCATGGACACTTAATAGTATCCATCTTAATCAACCCTGATATCTCCATCTGATCTCACCCCTCCGAAGAAAACCCACTCTGCTGTCCTCCCATCACAGTATCAAGCTGCTTTTTAAACGTGTCCTGGCTTCAACCATTCTTACCATCAATCTGTTCAAGTCATTAATTACCTCTGAATAAAGAAAAACTTCCTGGAAGTTTCCTGAAATTGCTCTCTGCAACTCTTGAAGCCTATATCCTCTTGCTCTTCTGTTTTGGTACTCCCGACAGTATTGTTCTGGATTTACTTTTCAATCCTATTTAAAATTTTACACACCTCAAAAGCATCCCCTCAGTCATCTTCTCTCAAAATTGAAGAGCCCTAGCTTGGCTAATCAATGCTCATAATGCATCCTCCAACACTGGGGGTCACCCTCATTGCTCTCCTCTGCACTGCCTCGAGAGCCTGGGCACGGTGACCAGAACTGTGTCCAGTACTCCAGGTGTGGCCTGACCAAGCACTAGAAAGCCACAGTATGATGTCTGGAGATCCAAATTCAAATGATTTAGCAATTTGGCCTTGCATCCAGTTTGGCTTATTAATTGCTGCCTCACTTTGTTTTGACATAGTCAGCGATAAGTCAACCAACATCCCTAGATCTCTTTCAGCCTCCCCCTTAGGAAATTCTACCCCATCCACGGAGTGCACCAGTTTGCTTTTCTTACTTCCAATATGCAGTACCTTTCATTCATTGTAATGAATGTTATTTGCCAGTAATCAGCCCATAGGCATATCTTATCAGCTCTCTTTGTAGGACCTTTCTGCCTCTTCCAATTCCACAGCTTTTATTCTTATCAACAATCTCGTTAGTTATGGTCTGCAAGCAGTACTTCACATGTGTTTTGCTCACAAAACATACAATCATTTCACTTTATAGTATATTCTGCGAAGCGCTTTGCAAGGAATTATTATTATCTGTGTATGTACGCTGAGCCATCTGCTTTTCATGCCCATATCAAAGTAAAGGAAGCAGGAAACACCCCTCACTGCCATTTCTTTTTACTTTTTTCTGCCATTTTTTCCCTTCCTTTTTGCCTTCTCTGGGGAACCATCCATGGGTAACTCATCATTACCATGGCATCAACAGAGCATGTTAGCAGGCTATTCGAGAGGGGGACATCAGTCGATCCCATCTGCATCAGATGTACGCACATAACAACAACTTATATAGCATGTTTACACACATGCACCTACAACAGGGGTCCCTGGACAGCAGACAGCAGCAGAATTGGATCCTGAGACCAATCATAGCACTGTCAGCCCAGATAAGATCAGCTAATCAGATATAGCACATACCAGAGATTGAAACAAAGTCTTGCCTAGGCTGTATGGATTAGCCAATCACTGAATAAACTTGATGAGCCATCAGGGAAGCCTCTGCATCACTTTTAAGTCAATAAAGCACTATCCAGTGCAATACAACAGGGGTTATCGAAGATATCAACAAGTGCACTCTTAACATTTAAGACCATGGAGCAATTCGGAAACCTGGATTTTCCCTCAAATCTACTTGCAATTTGTTGTACCTTCAGTTCACCCATTGCTATTTTAGAATACAACTACAATTTCTAAGATGTTTCTCTTTATCATAGTCTTCTACAACTGCATTATGATCCCATTTAATAGAATCACAGAATGTTACAGCACAGAAACAGGCCATTCATTACATCAAGTCCATGTGATGATTTCTTTCTCCATATGAGCCACCTAATCAAATCCCACAGTCTGCTTGCTCCCATATCCTTAATGTTCATCTTTTTCAAGCATTTATCTAATTCCCTTTCCAAAATAATAAGGACTCTGATTTAACAATGGCTTCTGGCAAACAATTCCATGCCTCTACCTACCCTCTTCATAAAGAACAGTAACAGATTGACAAAACATTAAAATTCAGAGAATTAATTTTAGGCCAGACAGATGTTGAAATAACATTTTATCTTACTTATGATGACACACTTGAATGACACATCCTTCTTTATATATTACTGGCAATTAAACCTAGAATGCAAAGTCAAGTCACAGTGTATAGAATAGAAAATCAATACCTGATTTTGATCCGTGTGCTGAGGCTGATCTCTTGCCACCAGTGTTTGTACTTCCCATTTTCTTCGTGGCTGGTACCTTAAATGAAGAACTAGCTGATGATTTGCTTCCATCCACAGACTCTTCATCATCGAAGCTTTTATCTTTAAAAAAAGACAAAATGTTTTTGTTTTATGAAGGTACAGACAATTTAAAATATCCAGTATGTCCAAGTCACCTTGGTGAAAGAAAAATCAATATCCATTACTATGATTTCTTTCTCCGTGACCAGTGTGACTGTATAACATGAAAATATACCCACCCTGATGAAGCAGCATTAATCTAGCCTTTTTCGTCCTATATACTAAGCACTTCAACTGAGATTGGTGTAAATCTGCATTCAAGTCTGTTATATTGACATTTCAATCCTTTTTTAAATGCCAAAATGCACTTATGAGGCAAATCCTTGTTGTTTCTGCTGTTTTTGTATGCGCTCCAGCCTACACAGCCTCCCACTTTGTGTCACCAGCTCTCTGTCTTTTCCACCCAGATTGTGCAACTTACAGGCACAGATCCTCTTGCAAATCAACCGTCTCATTCCTTCTTTTAAAGCCTTCAATTCTTTTCATGTAAGAGCATCCCAATAGATCACATGGCCAAGTGCAGTTAATTTCCGATAATAATAATCAATGTAAGTCCCCATCTAAAAATATACTCGGTGAATACAGACAGCACTGAGGCTTGTGCGGCATCTTTACCCTTTCTCCCTTCACTCGATTCTCAGCAGCCAATCAGCTGGAAGGTGACATCATCCTATACAGTCAGTCCTGGAGAGGAGGTGAGAATTTCTCATGCATATAAATCCTGTTTTCCTGCACACCCGCAACCCTTTATTACAGATTTTACCAACCAAACCTTGCGTATCTGCAACAGAATCCAACAATCACATCAAAAAGTGCAGAAGCTATATGTTTCTCTACATTCTACTTCCTTTTGTGTGTATCAGTTACACAGCTATTTTTTCTCCAATAATTGACAATTGAATGACTCCGAGCAGTGGTGTATCCTTCATTTCCTGCATCAAACCGGCAGCAGTTATTCATTTTGCCCAACAGATAAACACTGCATGATACACAAAGCAGGATATTACTGTCTCGCACGTCTCAAAGAGATATTTTAATTGCTAGTTTACTGTACAGCTGGCCTTACATATCTGCCTAAGTCTGTGCTCTGTATTCATTACTGCTGGAGCTCAAATTCAATTAATAAATGTCAACCAACAGGGTGAGGCCCATTTGTGCTGTTTTGCATCCTAATCAGGTTTCTTAAAAAAATGACCACCTCATAGACAGATATGAATATTAAATAACTAAAGGAAAGATTTTTTAATAAAAGGAAACATTCAGCGTGCAATGCCGCAGGCTTATTTATAATTTCAACATCCCCAGAGTAATACAGGATTCAAACAAAACAATCTGTTCTTGTGCCATAAAATGGGACACATTCTAGAATTGTTCACAACATATTGTCACTGCTCTGTGCTCTTAAAATTCAGAGAAAAATATTAACTTAATTGTTTATGAGATAATATTTAAATCAACACATGTTTAGCAAAATTTATTCACCATTAACATACATGGGATTTATTCTTTTAGTTGAACTGTAAACATTATTAAACAATTGTTTTTTGAGAAACAGATTCCCTCAAGATATTTTCTCCGCACCAACTCTCAGTTGAGAGGGTGGGTATTGCTCCCAAGTTTCTGTTATTCACACAATGAATTCACAAGCATGGCCTGGGATGACCATCCAATGCACAATGGATCAAGTCACCATGGACAATAACAACAACAACTTGGATTTATATAGCGCCCTCCACGCCGGACAGCGTCTCAGAGCGCTTACAAGTCTCAATGATATGATAAGGCGCTATATCAAATTCAAGGACAAAAAAAATTGATTAATCCATGACTGAGGGACACTGCTCTGCCGTGCAATTTACTGTCGTGTTTCGTCCACAAAATATGCTTTACAGTATATTCTCTGAGGCTCTCTGAGACTCTCAATGTGATAATTATAATTTTTTTAAAACAAATTCTAATGCAAGGATTATTATTCATATATTATCATTATAATATAACGTCTCAAGAATGTAATAATTTCAAACGCTTGAAATAAAAAAAATATTATTATATTATGGGCATGTAACAATCCATGGTGCACGCTCTAATCCAACTGCTGGATTTTTTAAAGGAAAAAAATATTAACATTATCACTTTTAAAGTATTAAATTGAAAAAACAGATTGTTAAAATTCAGAATTAAAGTATTAACTACTATTATTTGAATACTGAACAATCCAAATTTAGCAATAGGATAGCCAGTATGAATATGTCAACAATCATTTTACATTCCAGTATGTTTTTAATGTTGAGCTTTACTAACTCAGTTATTTTTGCTCGCGAAACGATGCAAGTGTCACTTCCTGCACAGCAACATGCTCAGTGTACATCAAATGAAGTTGGCAGCAATCTCCTGGATCTCCTGGATGTTGACAAGTTTGTAAGCACACAAAGCAAGCTGCTTTCACCACCTATGTGATTTGTGATGCGAAAGCACTGTCTGATAATTCAACCCAATTATAAGGCAGGTTGGAATTTTACCTCAACGACTGCTTTATAACACGATTCTTCGGTATAAACTGTAACTCAGCGGTTAGAGCACTCACCTCGCAAGCGAGAGACGTGGGTTTGATTCCTGGCAGAGCAAAATGTTGGGCAAATTTCCTTACTCTACACACTTCTGTTTACCTAACAAAAGTAGGAACCTGGTTGTTAGTCGATTGTCGGATCACTTTTCCGGGGGTAATAATTCCTTCCAAAAAAAAAAATTGGTCACTTCAATCCACGACTTTTCGTGGGACAAAGCTGTACACAATTTGCTGCCGCATTTTGCCCACAAAATATACAGTTAATTCTGTGAAGCGCTTTGAGACGTCTCGAAGACGTGATAAGGCGCTAGATCGAATGCAAGGATTATTAGGATATTATAAACTGATATGAGCAGGCTGCACCTCTAAATAAAACTACCATTAACAATAAGCACATCTTTATATAAACAATATAACAACAACAACAAAATTACATTTGTATAGCGCCTTTGACGTCGGGAGGACGTCCCAAACTGCTGGACAATCAGTGTTTCAGACCCGAGCTGGGGTTCAGGATCGGGGAGGGTGGAGGTTGGGGTGGGGGGTGAAGGAGGGTGATTGAAAGCAAGGTTGAAGAGAAGGGTCTTGAGATAGGTTTTGAAGGAGGTAAGGGAGGGGGGGCGAGGTGAAGTAACCGAAGGATGTAGTTCCAGAGGGTGGGGGGCAGAGTCCCTGAAGGCCCGCCTGCCAATGGTGGGGTGGGTGAGGCAGGGGATATGAAGCAGGCCCGCTGAGCAGACGGAACGGGCAGGTTGGTAGGGGGTTAGGAGATCACAGAGGTAGGGGGGAGCGAAGCCATGGATAACTTTGAAGATGAGGACCAGGATCTTGAAATGTATCCTATGTGTGATGGGAAGCCAGTGGAGTCGGCCAAGAATGGGGGTGATAGGAACGCAGAGCCTTGTGAGGGAGAGAACACGGGCTGCAGAGTTCTGGATGATCTGCAGGCTACGGCGGAAGAAGCTGGGGAGGCCGACAAGCAGGGACTTTGCATAGTCAAGCCTCGATGTTATGAATGCGTATATGAGAATTTCGGTGGCCTGCAGTGTGAGTGTCGTAGAGCCGGGCAATTTTGCGGAGGTGGGGGAAGGCAGAGTGGGTCAAGGCATGGATGTGGGGTAGAAAGGACAGCTGAGGGTCAAACAAGACACCAAGGATCCAGACTGGCTCAGTGAGGTGGAGTGTGCAACCATGGATGGTGATGCTGTCAGCGCCTGAGGTGTGGAGGTGCTGACAGGAACCAATCAGGAGAGCCTCGGTCTTGTTGACATTCAACTGAAGAAAGTTAGCTCTCATCCAGGATTTGATGTCTGACAGACATTCTATCAGGAGTCAAGTGTTGAGGCAGAGAGATCGAGTTGGGTGTCATCTGCATACGTGTGGAAGTTGACCCCATGTCTGCGGATGATGTCACCAAGAGGGAGCATGTAGATATTGAAAAGGAGGGGACCAAGGGCAGAGCGCTGAGGAACGCTGCATGAGACAGTGTGGGGCTAGAGGAGAAACCATTTGTGGAGATGAAATAGAGATGGTGTGAGAGGTAGGATGTGAACCATTCAAGGACAGAACCATGAAGGTTGAGGCAAGAGGAGGATAAATTGGTCAACGGTATAAAAGGCAGCAGAGAGGTCAAGGAGGCAAAGTGAGCCCTGGTCGCAGATCGTTTCGCCCGCATAATATGCAGTCAATTCACTTTACAGTATATTCTGTGAAGCACTTTGAGACATCTAGAAGACGTGAAAAGCGCTATATCAAATGCAAGTATTATTATTATAGATAGACAAAATTTAATTTGTCACTTTGACCAAAGCTGTTACTGTGCTGTGGGCAGCACGGAAACCTGATTGGAGCGGTTTGTGAAGGGAGTGACAGGAGAGGAAGGAGCGAAGCTGGGAAGCATTGACTCATTCCAGGAACTTGGAAAGGAAAGGGAGGTTGGAGATGCGGCAGTAGTTTGCAAGCAGGAATGGGTCCAGGAAGGGTTTTTTAAGGATAGGAGTGATGAAAGCCGTTTTTAAAGGAGTGGGAACAGTGCCAGTGGACAGGGAGAGGTTTATGTTGATGATGGTTTATGACAGGGACAAATGATAAACTATTAGGAATGAGAAGCTGAACACTGGAGAGGTGCTGGGGGACTGGAGAAAGGCAGATGTTATTCCTATTTTTAAGAAAAGTAACAAACGTGACCCAGGAAACTACAGACCAGTGTGTTTGACACCCATTGTGGGTAAAATTACAGAGACTCTTATTAAGGATAAAATCACAGAGCACCTGGACAGAAATAAAATCATAAATGATAGCCAATATGGGTTCATGAAGGGTAGGTCTTGCCAATCTAATTTACTGTTTTCTTTGACAGTGTGACAAGAAAGCTTGACAAGGGTAAGGCTGTGGATGCGTATATTTAGATTTCAGTAAGGCCTTTGATACAGTTACTCTTGAGAAACTGGTATTG